CCGCTCAGGCCAAGTCCAAGCAGGTCAACGGGGAGAGTGGTGGGGGCCGGGAGCGGGGCCGGGCCGCGAGCCTGGGCTTAGCGTGGTTGAGGCCACCGTTCCGACTAGCGCCGCGCTCACCGCGCACCTTCGCTCTTTCCCCAGGCGATCTTGGCGGCCCAGCGGCGCGGGGAGGACGTGGAGACCTCCAAGAAGTGTGGGTATCCCGCGGGGGGGGTCCGGTCCGGTTTATGGGATGATAAGATGGGGACAGGGGGCAGCAGCGGCCGGCTGAGCTGACGATCCCGAGCTGGGCCGGAACGGCAGCCCCGGGAACCGCCGGGATGTCGCCCCTGGAGCTGCCCCTTCCCTTCTGGCTGCCCAGGGCAGAGCTCTGCCTGTTTCTGCAGAGATCTTGGAAGAGCTTTTATGATCACAAAACTTAAGCTCCCCGTTTTGGCAGCTTGTTTCTCTTGAGCGTTTGAATGGCTGCCAATCTTCTATGGCGCTGCTCTTTAAAAATTCCTTGTTTCCTCTCCGATATAAATTGCCGGGTTCTCTCGCTGTAGGGAGGCGATTCTGATGATTAGAAGTAAATAGATGATCCTTGAAGAAGATTAATCAGCTTTATTGGGACATCGAATGTTAGAGACTAATGTGAGAGAAAGGATTCAAACTAAGGCTTAAATACTGTATCTTACATGAGAGAAAACAATGTGTTTTTGAAGTTCAGTCTTTCAGCAAAGCTAAGTACAGCTAGACTTTACTTATGCAAGGTTTTAGAAAATTGTTTAAAAGCCAGTTACTTGTGCTGCCTCATCCCTGAGCAAGCACGATTCAGGTTCAAATACTGACCCCTCTGTGCTGCGGCACAAACATGTCTGCAGCAAAGTTTGAGCGTTAAGACTTGCCCTGTCTGGAGTGAAGTTCGGGTGTGAGGTAGGGAAAGGGAAGGGCTTTGCATGGCTAGGTGTGCACAGCACTATGAACAGGCCTAAGGTTATGTTCCCTGATGGGCAGGATTTGGGTGAGATCAATGTTAATGTTGGTATGTTGAAATCCTGACAGCTCCCTGGGATCCTGGGCAGCTGAGGGCTTGGAAAAAGTCCTTTGATACTTTTTGGCACAGCTCTGAGCCTTATTTTGTTTGTCCTTGGTTGTTTTTTTTTTTGTTCTTGCTTCAAATGACAGGGGCAGCAGGCCAGAACAAACAACACTTCATTACAAAGAACACAGCCAAGCTTGACCGTGAAACAGAGGAGCTGCACCATGACAGAGTTTCCCTGGAGGTGGGCAAAGTGATCCAGCAGGGCCGGCAGAGCAAGGGCCTCACGCAGAAGGACCTGGCCACGGTGAGTGGAGCACCTGCAGGTGAGGGTGGGCACCTTTCCTGTTCCCTGGTGGGCAGCTGCAGTGGGATGGTGTCATGGGCTGGAAGTTTGGGGAATGCAGCATCTCTGGTGTCTGATGTCTTGGCAGCTTCAGTTGTCTGGGAAAACTTCTGAGGTTTGTCTGTGCAGCCCTTGAGCCCCAGGTTGGAGGCAGAGCTTGTCTGTGGCTGCTGAGCTGGTGGGAGGCTGCTCCCCACTTCCTCCCAGCAGCTCACACCAAGCCAAGAGGTTTGTACCATCTGGGCTTTCAGTGTTAGCAACTCCCTGCTGTATGAAGGAACAGCAATCCCTGGTGTGCCTACTCCTCCTGAAAAGGAGGGAGGTCACCAGCACTGGGACACTGCAGGGGGATGGTGGTGGAGTCAGCCTAGGAGCAACACTTTGTTATCTGTCCTGGCGTAATGAGGGGCCATTCCTTATCTGTGTGAGTCCTGAGGGGCTGCTGCTGATCCTTGGTGTGTTTAAGACTCATCCTCTCTTTTTAGAAAATCAATGAAAAACCACAAGTTATCGCTGACTACGAATCAGGACGAGCGATCCCCAATAACCAGGTCATGGGCAAGATCGAAAGAGCCATCGGTGAGTTAAGGGAGACTTCAGAAATACTGCCAGTGTTTGGAAGGGTAGTTTGGGGGAAGGTATTTGCCTTTTTCCTGTGAGGAACATTGCTGGCTGGAGTTTATCATGGGTGTGGTGCCATTAAGTCATGTTCTGATAAAACCTGGATCTGCTGACTGAACCAGAACTGGGAGCTCTTCATCTTTGTCGGCACCTTCATGCCTGTGCCTGTGCCCTGGGGACCATCCCTGTGTACTTGCCCCCAAAAGCTGTGAGAAGCTGAGACCCATGGAAGCCTGATTGCACTTGTGGAAGGATTTAGTGTTGGTTTTACTCTCCTGGGTTGGTTCAGATCCCATCTGATCAGTTTTTGTTTGAAGTTGGTCTAGAAACTAAAGTACGATTCTCTTGAACTCTTGTTTCCCTGCTCTCTTTCTGGATGTTTTCTTCCTTAAGGCTGAATTTGGTGGAAATATTGGTGAATGATTGAGTGCTGATGGTGGTGCTCTCCTTTGTCTTATTCCAGGCCTCAAACTGCGTGGAAAGGACATTGGAAAACCATTGGAGACTGGCCCCAAAGGGAAATGACAACAAAGCCTCGAAATCAGTTTGCTCAGACTGATCTGGTTCTCCTCAACCACTCTGCATATTGCCAAGCTGAACAAGAGGGTTTTAGACTTGCTTTGGGGGGAAATCTGCTGAATCTGTATCTGCTGTAAAAAGGCAACCTTAAAGAAGCAATTTTCCTGATGTTTGTTTTTCCTTGCTCCTTTTCAGAGATTGAGGATCTAAACCCCAAGAAAAAACCCAAACCCTGCCTCTGATTTGCCAGAAAACATGTGCGTTGTGGTGTTAGCAACATCTGATGTTAAGGCACTTAGGGTGGTGTGAAATGTGATGATTTAATGAAACAATTTGGGGGATGGGTGAGATATATTATATATAAATAATCTGGGAGAGTTGGGGCTTGATCAGAAATGATGACTCAGTCACTGTATCTCAATGAGTTGGTTTGTTCTTTGCAGCCTGTTTTAAGGAGATCTGTAATAAAGTTTGATACCCTTCAGTTGCCCAGAGGAGCTGCTGCATGTGACCAGCTGGTAGTAGATGTTGTGGCTGGGTGTGACTGGAACTGCACCACCTCTTCCTTCTGGGGTTGTAATTAAAGGGACAGCTGGGGTGCCCGGGCTGAGGGCCAGCACTGTCACAGCCTTCCTGGCTGTGTCACCTCTCCCTGTGTCGGGGATGGTTCAGCTTGGCCAGCAGCCGGGGGATGGAACCAGTGCTGTGGAGGTGAGGGGAGGCTGTGGGGAGCTGGAGAGCCAGGTGGGTGCAGAGACATCAGGTGAAGCCTGAGCCTTCCTTGCCCTTCCCCAGCTCTCAGCTGTATTGGGCCCTCATTTCTGCAAGCAGGACAGATCTGCTTGGCCTGACTGAGGCATCACCTAAGGGGGACCCAGCTGGGTGAGGGAGACAAGCTCTGGGCACAGTCTGGGAAAGTAGGATGTCCCTCCAGCTGGATATGGCGGCTGGGGGTAGCAGGATACTGGTGGGCTCCTCATGCAGGGGCTGAACTGGTCTGTGTGTGGGGCTGGGTTTGGAGTTCACAGCATTCAGGTGTGAAAGCAGGGGGTGAGGGAGGGGTCCTGGGCTCAGATGTGGTGGGTGCAAGGGTTGGGGTCCAGGCCCTGAACCCAGCCTGCACCTCAGGAACATTTTTGGGTTTCCTAGTGACATTTATAAAGTGCATTCACAAAGTGTGTGGGCAGCAGGTGGACACCAGATTTGGGAGCTGCCTGTTGCCCTCAGGGGTGCTGTGTGGTGCCCCCTTCTGCTCCCTGCTCTCCCACCCACCACTCACCCTCCCCAAAACCAGCACTGAGCTTCTTCCCTGTGGGGTCTCTGTGCCCTAGGAGCTCTTGTTCTTTGTCCTGGGCTTGGGAAGTGGCTCACACCCTCTGCAGCATGCACTGCTCTTCCCAGCTCTGGGGGCCAGCACCCCACACTTCACCCCCACTTCCCAAGGCTAGACCCCTGTTTGGATGAGGACAGCCACTGTGAGAACTCCCACTCCTGCCCCCTGCCAAAGCACGGGCACATTGCTGTGTCTTGGAAGCAGAAAGTTCATGTTACAAACAACAAAAACGCTTTTCCCGAACACTTGGAGGTAGTGATGCCAGGGGTGTGTCCCTGTGTGGGGCAGGCTCCCTGGGTCGCCAGCTCCCCGGTGCCGGGGGCAGAGAGCAGGCGACTGATGGAGCGTGGGTTCCTGTCGAGGGGTGGTCTGCCTGGGGGAGCAGGCAATTCCTGCTGCTGGCTGCTAATTTCAAGACTCATCCTCCTCCCTTGGAGATATAATAACCTTGTCCTGAAAAGAAAGGTGAGTGGGAATTGGTGACAAATGTGGGCTGTCTGCTGTGAAGCACCAGGATTGCTTCCAGGCTGCAGTGAGGACAATCTGTGTGCCAGCCTCCTGTGACCCTGGCAGAGGCACCAAACCCCCAGTGCACCCAAGGGGCTCCACGATTGTTGTTGGAGTCCATGCTGGGGTTGGTGACTGCTGCAGATCTTGTGCCACCAGATCTGTCCAAGGAACCTGTAGCTTAAGCAACCTTGCACTAATTTGAGTGCTGGCTGAGTGAAGATGAGCTGGGTTTGTCAGACCCCCTTCCCACAAGACTCTGGGGTGGGAGCACACTCAGCTCTTCTGGGAGCAGCTGCCTGGTGGCAGCAGCACTTTTAGGTCAGTCCTACAGCTCGGGGCACTTGTTTGTCAACAAGCAGATAAGAGGCAGAGCCCTTTGCACCTCCCTGTCGCGTTGGCGGAATGTGGGATCAGGGAGGATCTGCTGGCATTTGCTGAGCTTTTAGGAAAATGCTGTTTTGGCACAGCTGGGGTAACCAGGGCAGTCCTTCACCCTGTCCTTACATCTCGGAAGGTGATGTTGTCGAAGCCCTGGGGCCTGCTGCTCTCTGTCGGTGTCTTGCTCGCCAGCTCTCGCTGTTTCAGCCAGTACCAGCCCCCAAGAGCCACAAGTGCCACGATGACGAGGGCTAGGAGCAGACTGAGCACCACCTCTGTCACAAAACTGCCGGGGAGTTTCTCTGCAGGGGGAGGAAATGCTGTCAGGCTCGACCCACTGCCCAGAGAGCTGCCTCCAGCCTCAGCCCAGCACGCTGGGCAGCTCTGGGTTGACCTGTAAGAGCCAGAACTGCCCCCCCACCCCTGCACCTTCCACTGGACTCTCTGGGCTGGAATGGCAGCCCACCCTGGCGCTGTACACGATGTCATCCAGTGCCACTGTCCCCTCCATCGGCCACCTCCACGTGGTGATCTCAAAGCTGATCTGTGGGGGAAGGTGGGATCTGGGGGGCTGATGCACCCCCGGAGACACCCTGCACCCCAGGGTGGCCCCACTTACCTGGAACTCACTGGGGCTGTGCACGGGCACCACGGCGCCCTGCCAGCCCCGGCTGCGGTGCCCTGCCACGCTCCACACCGTGCGCTGCCCCGCGGCGCCCTGCAGCGTCACCCGCAGCTCCCCACTGCCTGCAAGGAGGGGACACAGGCATCTTGGGGTCACAGCTGCCCCGAGCCCACAAGAGCCACCCTCTACAGGGAAGGCAGCAGCCAGAGGGAATGGGCCATCGCCACCGCCCAGCTGGAGCTGAAGCAGAGTGTCCATGGTCTACAGGTGGGGATGACTGAGGCCCCCACTCCCATACGTGAGACCCAGGGACAGCATCTCCTCCCGGCCCCTGCAGTGCTCACAAAGGTGCTCTGGGATGTCCATGTGGTACCAGAAGCGCAGGCAGGAATCGGTGGCCATGGGCAGAGGTGGGCTCTCCAGCAGGGCACTGGTGCCCCCAGCACCCAGCACGCTGGTGTCAAAGTGCATGTAGTGACCTGGGTGGGCAGGGACAGAGTGCAGGGTGTCACTCAGTTCTGCACCCATTTGTCCCACCCTGCTTGTCCCACTCTTCCCCAGAGCGATGCCCGGAGAATGGCACAAACCAGCCCTGCACCTCACTGCCCTTGGGGCTGAGCTGCCCCTCCCAGGTGAAAAGGGGACAGGGATGCTGTGGAGCCAGGCCTCACAGGGTGTACTGGACTGACTCCATCCATCCCCAGCTCCTCTTCCTCACTCTGGCCATGCCAGGGTGCCGAGGCAGGGATGGGTGTTTCCTACCATTCCTTTTGCCCAGGGTGTGATCCTGCTCAGGGCCAGGGTACTTGGCCAGGGTGATCCCATTCTTCCAGCCCCAGGCAAAGCTGTGCAAGCGGGGGTTGGAGGGGCTGCTCCAGCCACAAGTGTCCTGCTCGAAGTCACAGGATGCTGAGAGGAAAGCAGGGCTGTGAGACACCCAGTGCTGCCTGGCTGGAGATGGGGCACCTGGGTGGTACACACTTCCCCCAGCTTTGGGCCAGGCCAGGCGCAGGGCAGGAACAGGTCTGTCCCCATCCCCGTGGCTTACATGCCCCCACAGGATGTCCCATCCTCCCCCTCTGATCCACAGTGCCCCTGTGGGGTGGGGTCTCACCTAGTTCAGGGCAGGCTCCATCCGACACATGCAGGTCGTCCAGTGCAATGTATCCGTGGTCACCCCCAGCTCCCACTGCCTCAAACACCACCTGGGCAGGGTGACATGCTGAGGCTGGCAGCCTCCAAACACCCCTCATCACCTCATGCTGCCCCCAGCACCCTGCCTTGTCTCACCTGCCAGTCGCCATCGGGCTGGACAGTGATGTGGCTGCGGTGCCAGTTGTCCCCTTCCATGGTGCTAATGCTCAGAACCTTCCTCCTCGCCCTGCTCTGCTGCACATACACCCCGAGGGAGCCTACCCAGGGCACCCAACATGGAGGAGGGGTCCAGGGCTGTGCCACATGGGGCCCCCACCCACCTGGAGGTGCCCCCAGGGGTCTCAAGGCAGGTGGTGCTCACCTGGGGTCCCAGTGCTCAGCTGGTACCAGAAGGCCAGGCACTGGGCAGACGTGGAGGGCTGGTAGGGCTGGGAGGTGAGGGTAGCCACGTGCCCTGCAGGCAGGAAGACCCTGCCCATGTTCACCACCATGTAATGGCCTGGAGGAGAGATGCCTCTGTGCTGTGACCCCTGCCCAGCCCTGCTGGGGAGCACCAGGGGACAACTGGGGCTGGGTTTTCCCCCCAGGTCAAGGAGTCTCCCCAGATTGGGAATCTTCCCAGGATTAGGGAGCCCTGGGGCTGGGAGACTGCATTTGGGGAGCTCCAGGGTTGGGAAGCCATGTGCAGTATTGCCTTCTGCTCATCCTAGGGAGGGCAGGGCAGGCATGACACAGGGAGAGCAGGCAGGGCTGGTGTGGGGTACAGGCAGGACACTCAGAGCAGGCAGGGGGGGACACTCAGTGCAGCAGGGAAGCAACAGAGCTGCCACAATCCCGTACCTGTGGCAGTGCCGGTGGTGTGGTCAGCCACAGGGCCAGCGGTGGTGCCAGTGCTGTTGCTCTGTCGCTGCCAGGTGCCCTCTCCACTGGCTGCCAGCCCACAGCCCTCGGCCTCGAAGGAGCAGGAGAGCTCGGCCCCACAGGGCCCCGCTGTCTGTGCGATGTCATCCAGCCCCACGTCCCCCAGGAAACCATCATGCAGCACCTCGAAAGCCACCTGCCCCCAGGCAGCGGTGTCAGACACGCTGTGCCTTGCTGGTCCCAGGGACATGGGGGGCCTGGTCCTCACCTGGTACCGCTGCTGGCCCGTGGCAGGCAGTGTTGCCCATGCCCGGTGCCAGATGCTGCCCTGGGTTCCTCGGCGGGTCCACAGCACCACCTCCTCCCCTCCCTCTGGCCACAGCTTAAGGTTCAGGGTACCTGGGCAGAGGGTGGTGTAGGGGCAGCCATCCCACAGCCCTTGAGGACCCCACTGTCCTCAGAGCGGAGCTGGCTGGGCAGCCCTGGGAGGATGCCATGGGGGACACACCAATTTGTGGGCCAGCCAGGCGATACCAGAAGGAGAGACAGCGTGGGGCAGTGGCTGGCTCCTGGAGGGAGGTGAGGAGCTGGGCCCGCTGCCCGTGGCTCCATGGCACAGAGGGGTCCACGGACAAGAAGTAGCCTGAATGTTTGGGATAGCCAGGATGGAGGGATCATGATGTGAGTGCTCCACGTCACCCACAGCCCAGATCTGGGGTGCTCCCAGCTGCCCTAGGTGAGCTTACTCCGTAGGCATGGGGCTGCTGGGAGTGCACAGGGCATGTCATGGCCATGGGGATTGAAGGCCGTGGGATGCCCTGGGCTCCTGGGTTCCCCCAAAGAGCAACCAGCCCCTTACCTGAGCCAGTGGTGTGGTCAGAGCCCTGTCCCTGCTCCATGCTGTGGACCCATTTGAAGTCACTGGACAGATCCTGGTACCAGCCACACATGCCCCTCTCAAAGTTGCAGGACAGCTCTGGCCAGAGAGAGGTGACAGTGTGGAGGTGGAAAGGGGTAAGGCATCACAAAAGCAAATGGGTCCCCCAAACACCCCTTTTCCCCTGCTTCCCTGCCCCACTCCCCAGTTTTACCCTACACAGGGGTCCAAAGCCAAGGCAGGATATGTGCTTGGCCCTGGCTCTTGGCCTTCTGCACCGTGGTCCTGCTCTTGGACAGAGTGACAGCCACCAGGCAGCCCCCATGGAAAGGGTCTGGGGTTACCCTCCTGCCCACACACCCCTGGCTGTACCTGCAGCTGTGGGTGACACCACATCGGGGTAGCACTGCTCAAATGTCACGTTGTCAACACCGACACTCGCTGAGCTCTGGAGATCCACTAGTGCCAGCAGCTCGACCTGGGGGCATCAGCCATGAGCCCAGGGTGCCTGGCAGCACTGGCACTTGCCACTGAAAGCCCCCCAGGTTGGTCCCTGTGCATCCAGAACACCTGGAAGGGCCGGCTTCTCTCTCCCAGTGGGACACGGACATGACCCCCAGTTGTGCTGCCACGACCTTGTGCCTGCCAGGCCAGCTGGGTGGTGCCAGTGGTGTGATCTGTGACACTGATGGCGAGGAAGCCTGGAACAAGAGGTGGTGCAGAGGCTGTGGGTACCCAAAACCCCTGGCCACCCTGTGGGAGCCCTCCATGGCACCAGCCCGTGGTCACAGGGTGCAGGGACACAGACAGGGACATGGACACCCCAGCTCCAGGATGATGTGATGGGGCAAAGCAGGGTTGGCAGAGGCAGCAAAGGCAGGTGGGTATGGGAGGTCTGGGGGCAGGAAGCAGGCAGGGCACTCTGGGGGTGGGCAGAAGTTACCTTGGGGATCACTGTAGATGTGGTAGCTCATCTCCATGGTGCAGGCAGGGCCAGAGGGGCCCAGCAGAGGCGATCGTGCCTTTGCAGGACCCACCATCTGTCCTTCTCCTGTCTGGAGGGCCAGGAAAGTCCCTGGGCACAGAAACACTCTGTGAGGTGAGGTCTGGGGTCTCACATCACTGGTAGCACCCCCAGCCTAGCATCCTGCCTGCCCATCATCCCCATTGTGCTGTGGCAGCCACTGCAGGGCCCTGCTCGGGGGGCTCCCGTGGTGCTGAGCACTGAAGAGCATTGTCTGGGTGGTGAGAACAGCCTCACCTGTGAGGAAGATGTCAGATTCAGGGACCTTCTGCAGACCCCAGCGCAGCCGCCCCACGCTGATGTCATGCCAGCCTCCAGTCCCTGACTCGAAAGTTGTTGTCCCTGCAAAGTCAAAGAATTCCAGAATCCCAGACTGGTTTGGGTTGGAAGGAGCTTGAAGTTCATCTCATTCCATTCCTCTGCCATGGGTAGGGACACCCTCCACTATCCCAGGGTACTCCAAACCCTGTCCAGTCAGCCTTGGACACTTCCAGGGATCCAGGGGCAGCCACAGCTGCTCTGGGCAACCCAAAACTCCAGGCTCAGTCTTCCCAGGCCACTGTTCTCCCAGGACACTCATGTGCCAAGGGTGTCTGGTCCCCTGCACTGCCGGGGCACTGGTGTGGGTGCCTGCCTTGGCTCTCACCACAGAGCTTCTCGTCGGAGCCATCAGCGCACGTGGCAGCGAAGTCGCAGGCCAGCTCTGCGGCAATGCAGTCCCCATTGTCACAGGCCACCTCATCTGCTGCGCAGGAGCTGGCATCTGCCTGGCGTGGCAGCATGACCAGAGGCTTCTCTGATGGTGAAACACCCCAGGATGGAGAGCAGTGGTGAAAGGGCCCAGCAACAGCATCAATGTCAGACCTTCACACCGCTGTCCCTTGTCCCCAAGCATCTCCCTGGCTCTCCATTTCCCCCATCCCATCCCATCCCATCCCATCCCATCCCATCCCATCCCATCCCATCCCATCCCATCCCAGTTCCCACCAGCTGAAGGGGACCCAGGGCCTAGTAAGAGCTGCTTGTGTGACACATTGTGACACAGAGAGTGTCATGGCGACAGGATAAAGATACCAGCACCCCAGGGCAAATGTTTGCTGTGCTGCAGCCAGGATGGTCCCTGTGATGAGCAGAGGGACAGGCAGACCATGCTGGGGGTCCTTTAGGCACAGTGCCATGGGCACAAGACACCTGGGACAGCTGCCCACTGGAGCAGGGTGAGGGACACTGCCCACCAGCTCACCCTGCTCCTTCACACAGCCCTGAGACAGGATCAGGTCATCGATGGCCACGGTTCCCCCACGGCCAGCCACCCCCTCAATCAGCACCTGCAGGGAAGCACCATGTCAGCAACATCAGCGAGGGGTCCTGCACAATATGAGGGGGATTAGGGCGACACCAGGGAACCATGGGATGGGGGGAGCCAGAACCTGTCACAGACTGACACATGTTCTCCCCAGGAAGGGACTCAGTGGGAGCAGGGCGATGCTGTGGCTGACAGGGGGGCACAGCATGGGCTGGCATGGCCACGGTGGGCTTGGGGGTGGTGCTGCCCCTGTACACAGCTGTGGTCCCCGACCCCAGGGTCAGCCCAGCTCCCCCCAGCACAGCACCAGCCCACCTTGAAGGGATCTGTCACGTTAAAATCCACTCTCTCCCGGACCCAGCAGCTGCCCAGGTCTCCTGTTCTTTCCCTCATCAGATGCTTGGTAGAGTTGGTCACGTAGAAGATGCTGAGGTTGCTGGTGTCTGAGCCATGGAGGTGGCAGTACAGCACAAGCTGGGGATGGGGAGGAGGATGAACCCTCAGGGCAGGGGCACAGAGCCCCCTGCATCCCACAGAGGGGCTGTAAGGTACCCCAGAGCTCCCAGTGGGCGTCAGAGATGTCACCTAACCAGCCTCAGAAACCTGATGCCCATCCTCAGCGAGGGCCAACCACAGCCCCAGCCCTACATGAGGGTACCCAGAGCTGGGAACCCCATCTCCCATCAGCACTATGCCCACATAAGCTGAGACATGAGGTCCCAGCTGTGACTCACAGAACAGGAGTTGGTGGCTTGGAAAGTGGGGCTGCTGAGCTGAGCTGTGCCACCACCCCGTGCAGTGAGGCCGCTGCCCACATGGAGGAAAAAACCTGCAGGAGATGCTGGGGCTGAGTGGAGCCAGGCAGACGTGTGGGCGCAGGACGCCGCTGTCCTGGCACAGCCTTGAGCAGAGCCCAGGCATGTGTCACCTCAGGGCACATCCACGTGCAGTGGGGCTCCGCTGGTGCCCACCACGTACCATCCCTGCTGCTGTTGCTGTGGTCCCGAGTGGGAATGCCGTAGGAGGTGCCCAGGTCCAGGCTCGTGTTCCTGCCCCACGCTGGTGACCCGGCTGCTGCCTCCCAGCCACAGAGATCGCGGTCAAAGGAGCAGCGGGTGAAGTTCTCTGTGAGAAAGGACAGCAGTGACCCAAAGACCGGGGTCGCAGCCCTCCCTTGGGCAGGTAGGTCCCTGCAATGGGGCTGGGCTGATGCCACCCCTCTGCAAACCCTCGGGGTCATTTTGCCCTCTGGCGTGGGGCAGAACTGCCAGCCCAGAGCTCAGCTTTGCCCCAGCAAGGCAGACCCTCAGCCCATCCGCAGGACTCGTCCCGGGGCCACGGGTGCTCACTGCACTGCGCCGCGGCCTCGTCCGAGCCGTCCCCGCAGTCGTCGGTGCCGTCGCAGAACCGGCGCTGTGGCAGGCAGGAGCCGCGGGGGCAGCGGCTCTCCTGGGCCCCGCAGACCTGCTGCCCGACCCCTGCCGCGGGGGGACACGCGTCAGACAGCGGCTGG